TTCGTGGGCGCCTGTAGTCCCAGCTACTCGGGAGGCTGAGGCAGGAGAATGGCGTAAATCTGGGAGGCGGAGCTTGCAGTGAGCCGAGATCCGGCCACTGCACTCCAGCCTGGATAACAGAGCCAGACTCCGTCTCAAAAAAAAAATTAAATAATAATAGTAATCAAACAATAAAATAAAAGCACTTCCTGAATTCCAAGCACATTCAATACATGGACTTTACATACACCATTTACCATATCCACACAAGGTCCCAACTGAGTTGATTAAATAACTGAGGCTTGAAGCAGTTTAATCACCTGCCTAACGTCACAAGAAACTGCAAGAGAATTCAAACTAAAATTTTAGGACTTCCATGATGATATAATATAATAAAAAATATACATATATTTGGTTTTCATCTCTGGTTCTCAGCACATAGCTCCTAAAACCCTTGAAATTTCCTGAGTGATAGAGGTGACAGGAGCATCTTTTTTTTATTCGTAACAAGTACCTTTTAACCATACCTGAGTTTATGCTAATGAGATAACTGGTGACTGAAAGTCCTTAGACAGCTTCAGGATAGAGGCTGGTTGTGGGAAGAACCAACCATATTATTAAAAGGTTGGAATTCAATTAGAACACTTGGACACAGGGCAGGGAACATCACACAACGGGGCCTGCCGTGGGGTTGGGGAATGGGGGAGTGATAGCATTAGGAGAAATACCTAATGTAAATAACAAGTTAACAGGTGCAGCAAACCAACATGGCACATGTATACCTATGTAACAAACCTGCACGTTGTGCACATGTAACCTAGAAATTAAAGTACAATAATAATAATAATAATAATAAAAAAAGTTTGCTAGCAGGTCAAGGAAAACAAAGATCAAGAGCCAAGGAAAGCATTCCCTGGAATAAAGATAATAAATTTCAACAAATCAACACTAAAAGTAACTTTATAATATTGATTGAAAAAACTGTATTTCTTCAATTCTAAAGTGTCATCTTTTCACATTTTAATATCATAGATATAATAGCTAGCATTCATCTTGCACTCACTTTGTACCAGGTTCTGTCACATGCACTTTACATGTGCTGACTCATAGAATATTGTGTATTTCATCTTGCACTTACTTTGTACCAGGTTCTGTTATGTGTGCTTTACATGTGCCTACTCATAGAACATGGGATATTTCATGGAGTGAAAAATTTCATCTTCTGCTCTCTGAAAAGTTGTTAGTAAACCAATGTTACAAACTTAAACTCCATGACTGTTTAGAATCCAGGAACCATTGTAGGTGCAGAAATAAATAGTGCTTACAGATATACATTTAAAAAAAAATTACATTGAGGGAAAAAAAAAAAAGGTTGGAATTTCAAGCCCCACCCACCTACTCTCCCCACTTCCCCACCCCCTTTCCCGGCCCCCTGCCACACACACACCTGACCTCTGGGGAGGGGAAAGGGACTGGGGATTGACTTAATCACCAGTGGCCAATGATTCAGTCAATCATGCCTAATGGAACATCCATAAAAACCCTAAATGAGGGGGTATGGAGAGTTTCTGAGTTAGTGAACCTATCCATGTGCCAGGAGGGTGGTGCACCCCAATTCTAAAAGGACAGAAGCTCCTGTGCTTTGGACCCTTCCAGACTTCACCCTTTGCATCTCCTCATCCAGCTGTTCATTTATATCCTTTATAATAACCTGGTAAACATAAGTATAGTGCTTCCTTGAGTTCTCTCAGCTATTAAAGTAAATTATAGAAACCAAAAGAAGGTTGTAGGAAGCCCTGATTTGTAGCCAAGTTAGACATAAGTGTGGGTAATACGTGGGCTCACCACTTACAGTTGATATCTGAAGTGGTAGGTGGTCTCGCAGGACTGAGCCCTTAACCTATAGGGCCTGTGCTAACTCTGGGTAGTAGTAAAATTTAATTAAATTGTAGGACATCTGGTTGGTGGCTGCAAAATACTGAAGAATTACTTGGTGTAGAAAATCCACACATTGGGTTTCAGAAGTATTGTGAGTACAGGCCAGGCACAGTGGCTCACGCCTGTAATCCCAGCACTTTGGGAGGCCGACAGAGCGGGGGGCGAATCACCTGAGGTCAGCAGTTCCAGACCAGCCTGGCTAACATGGCAAAACCCCGTCTCTACTAAATTTCCAAAAATTAGCTGGGCATGGTGGCAGGCACCTGTAATCCCAGCTACTCAGGAGGCTGAGACAGGAGAATAGGTTGAACCCGGGAGGTGGAGGTTGCAGTGAGCTGAGATCATGCCACTGCACTCCCACCGGTGACAGAGCGAGACTCTGTCACAAAAACAAAAAAGAAGTGAGTAGAGAAACAATTTTATTTTAACTTTGCTCTGCCTCTTCTTATATTCTGGCCAGGAGTGAACCTGTACTCATCTGTGGTCCAGAAAGAATGGCTGCTTGACAAGCTCATCAACTGCTGTAAGAGGCATTTTTCCTGCTGTGTGTCTAAGAAAAGCACCAAAAAGCCATCATGACTCTTTCCAAGGGAGAAATGACAGCTCTGTCTTTGACCTGAATAGCATGAAAACAAGGCAGTCTGATCCAGACAGCTGCTCTGTCATGGAGAGAATAACCCTTGGGGACACCATGTACCCAAACAGCATGGCACATGAATATAAACAATGAATACCCAATGGCCATAGGCCTCCTTTGGCTTACACCCCTCACAGCACTTTAAGAGGCAAGAATAGAACGGGAAGACACCTCAGGGATCACCAGGCACAACCCCTGCTTTTTGCAGATAAGGAAACTGAGGCTAGTTAACATGTCTATTAAAGAAGCTGGAGCAGGGTGAAAGCTAGAACCTTGATCTCAAACTCTCAGACTTCTGTTTTATTTTCTCTATCACCCTGCAAGCCCAGAACCCAGAAGGGAACCCCACGGTTCTCATCGTGCTGCTAAAGACTGAATATTTATATCCCTCAAAATTCATGTGTTGAAACCTAATCCTAAATGTGATGGTATTTGGAGGTGAGGCCTTTGGGAAGTGATTAGGTCATAAGGGTGGAGCTCTCACTGGAGGGATTAGTGCCCTTAGAAAAGAGACAGCAAGAGCTCCCTGGCCCTCTTCTGCCATGTTGAGGACACAGTGAGAAGATAGCCATCTATGAACCAGGAAGCCGACCCTCACTAGACACTGAACCTGCCAGTTTCTTGGTCATGGAATTCCCAGCCTCCAGAACTTGTGAGAAATAAATTTCTGTTGTTTACAAACTACCCAATCTGTTTTTGATGTAACAACCCAAATGGACTAAGACACACACTCCAATCTCCTCATGAGAAACTGGGTTTTTACCATAGGGGAGTTGAAGAGAAAAAAACATTGCTTTTTATTTTCTACTGCTAATTTGAAAAGATACCCATATTTATCAGTGCCTCATGGGAGCAGTTCAGTCTGTAAGTCCCAGAGGGAGATACGGAGATGAAAAAGGGTCAAATACCTGGGCCTTCCTGCAGCACAAATCATTCCGTGAATGCAAACAATTGAGAAGTAATATAGTTGGATTTCTCAGAGCAAGCAATGCTCATCCTACCACTGCTTATGTTTGTGTACGATTTAAGAGGACCAAATGGCTTCGTCGCACTGTGGAGTGTCAATGCTGGTGTCATTAACATACAATTATACATGCGTGGAGCAGATCAAGTACCTGCCATCTTAATAAATCACATCATGCAAAGCTATGGCTTAGATGTCACTTTCATTTCATAAAATGATTCACCACAGTATGTCTTAAAAGCTAGTTTTGCTCATGCATTTAGTTTACGATTCCATTGATAGAGATGTGATTGCCTCGCAACTTGTCAGAAACACATCCCCTGAATAAAACATGGTACTCCTCTCTGCCACAGAATGCCAACCTTGATCCAGATCTATTTTGGGCGCTTGGCTCCTAAAAATGAATGAAAGTCGTTGTTGAGGTGGAATTTTGCTTCAGGTCCTGTGGGACTTGATGAGGACATTCTTCCCAGCACAAGAGGCTGACCAGGGACAGGGTGCCACAGTTGAGCGTGTTACTGAGGATAAACATATTTAAACCACTGTTTGTGGACAGTTCCCCTCCTCCTTTACTGTCAACATATATCATAAAATAAATCCTTTCATTTCATCTTAGGAAGGCAAGATATTCAGTCTAGTGATGAAAGAACAGTAAGGAGAGACTTGATAGCCCAGACCAGTAGCAGCTAAACTAACCTTGAAAGCAGAAGGAAAAAAAAAAAAAAGAGAGAGAAGAACCCAACCACTAAGCCACCGAGTAAGAATGGGTGGCAGGAAGAGTTAGAGAGATCTGCCCATTCGTATTTATTTCTCTTCACTCACTCTTCAGCCTGTCTCTTGACAAGAGTGTCCCGGTTCACCCATCACAAATCTCCACTTACCATGACAGGCATGAGGATGGAATGTCCTATCTCGAGACACCTACAGGCTAACTGAGGAATAGAAATCAGGGAAGGAAGCACGTCTTATAGTTTAATAATTACACCGCCGTTTTCAGCCCCTGACTTCATTAAATTCAGGGTAAGGACGACCCACACGACGTCCTTCTCGTGCCAGGTACTTGGCAAGACAGAACCAGTCGCCGCTGTGTCCTTCCGGCAAGATGAGTGCAGGTTACAGAAGCCCCAGGTCTGGAAGTTTGCTGTGCCAGGCTCCTCGGAGCAGCATCACTGACCCAGACGGACACACACACACGCACACAGACACACACACACGCGCGCGCACACAGATACACGCACACGCGCGCGCGTGAACACACACACACTCTCACGGCTAATTGGACACTTGCCCCGCCACCCCGAAAGCACAGCGCCAAGGAAAGGCCAGTTCCCGCCTCGAAGGCAGCAGGTGTGCCCTGACCCTTTTCCTCCGACCCCCAACCCCACCCCCATCTCTAGCTGAGTTCATCTGGACGTCCCCCAAACTCGCAGTTCTCGGGCAGAATTGCGACCAAGAAATAAAAGACAAAAGGAGCACACTTACCTAACTCGTCTGGGCTGTACGATGTGGGCGAGGCTTCCACAAACTCACTGTCTGAGGGAGAAGAAAAGCAGAAAACAACTCGAATCGCTACCATCCAGGGCGAACCCACCAAGCATCAGCTTAAGCGCAGGTCCCCGGGAAAAGCGCGGGCTTCTCCTTCCCAGCGCTCAGAATCCGTGAGCCGGAGGCCCTGCGGGATTCGGACCGCTGGATCCCCAGGGAGTGAGAAATCGCCGCAGAAACTTGGGGGGCAACTCGGCCCGGGCACCGCGCGGCTTCCAGGCGCGGTCAGGCGCGCGCCAACTTTCCCCGCATGCCACCCCGCGGCTCCCCCGGCCGGGTGCTGCGCCGCGGCCGCGTCCTCTGCCCTCAGCCCGCGGGGCGCATTGCTCTGTCTGCCGGGCCTGGCGCCGACGCCCCGGCGCGGAAGAGCCGCAAAGTTTTCTCGCGGTCCCGGAGGCCCGAGGGCGCGCGGCGGCGGCGGCGAGCACCCCTCGCCCACCCAGGCGCCCAGCGCATCCCCGCTCGTTGCTAGGCGACCGTGGCCGTCACGCTCCGCAGCGGCGTGCGCGGCCTCCCAACTCCCGGCTGACGGAATCCTCCCTAGTCCCCGCCCAGTTTGCCCATTTTCCAAAAAATCAGAGCATAACCCGTTCTAACCCGATTCCCTGCTCTGTTATGTTATGTCTGCCCTCCTCTGACGCTTGGGAAATCGTTTGTTCTGTGGCTTCTCCTGAGGAGACGGAGGATTTTCAGAGCTTGCAGAAAGGTAGGAGGAGCCCCAAATGCCCTCCAATCCCCTCCTGTTGGAACCAGAATTCCAACTCTAGTCCAACATTATTTCCTACTCTTCCTGGCTCAAGTGGGCAAAGTAATATGAGCTCCATTGCAGAGGTAGGGAAATCGAGGCTGAGAAGTTGTTATTTTATGCGTGACATCATTATGATAGGGGTATGTGAGGGAGAAGGCGGGGAGGAGAGAAGAGCAGTGCTCCTTCTACTCTGTAAAAGATTGACTGCTTTCAGATACAGAACGTAAAAGCAGTAGTTATGCTCTGAGAGCTGTAAATTCTAAAGTAATTAATGTAACACTGTGAGAGCCTCCCTCTCTGAGTCAGTGGCCTGATAACTTGGACAGATGTGTTATGTATCTCCCCCCAGTCCCCAGGCCTGACTGTGACTGCTCTGCATTAAGGGGGCAAAGGTGCTGGACTTGGGATGTGCTCCAGAGAGAGCCCTGCAGCTGATGACCCATAATGGGGTCAGTGGGAAGGAAGGAGCAAGTATGGAAATGTCCTTTCTCCATCCTTGGAGGACTATTGGAGGGTCAACAGTCTGAGCAGCCTCCTGGGGGCCTTCTATTGACTCAAAGTGATCAGAGCACCAGCTGCAGCAGCCTAAGGGCCCCGATCTGAGCCAGTGTGCTCTCATCCTGTAAACACTCAGCCATCTCAGGCTTTTCCACTGTTTCCACTTTTCCACTGTCAGTTTTTGGTTTACAAATCACCATGAAGGACAGAAAGCCCCTTCAGCCAGCATTGCTCACCGAGCCCAGGGAAGCAGGGGCGGGGCTGTCCTTCCCCAGCAAGGCAGCATGCTTGAGCTGCTGAGCCTATCTCTCCAACCTCTTCTTTTTCCTGCTTCTTGTAATCTGAGCTCCCAAATCCAGGAATTAAATATGTTTGGGTGAAGGTTTGCACTCATCACTCCATCCTAGAACCTCCTAGAATTCTAGGACCTCCTAGAATCCTCCCATTTGTCCTCTGGAACTCATGGTTCATTACTAGCAAAATCTATATGTCCTCAGCCTCCTCTCTGAATGTTTCTTTCAGTGACTTGCTCTGACCCTTACATGGCTTTCCTTGAAAATAACAGGCTGCATTACTTGCCTCCTCTACTTATTTCAGCCATCTATGGATCCTCTGGTTGTTCCACCTCATTTCTTGAAGATAATGGCATCTGATTCACTGTCACTTTTCCCAGTATCATTCCTGTGATTATTCTTATTTTTCTCCTTCTACATAGTCACACTCTAATCTCTCAACTCTTCTGCATCCTATCCCTTTCTTGACCTGCTGCAACCACACCAGCCCCCTGCTGTCATGGCGACACCATGCATAATATCAATGTGAAGCAATCCACTCTTCTACCTTTCCAGCTCATCCCCTCTGTTATTTTAATCCAATGTGTCCTTGACCCCACCAGCATCTATAATTTACTTATCCATGACCTTTTCTCTGCCCCTCACTCTCCTCATGACCCTCCTTCCTTCCTTACGGACTTTAGTTTCCAGTTTCATTATTATTTCAAATCCATGTTCTGCTCTCTTTCCGTGCTATTTACCTGGTAAAATCACAACCCTAGTAAAATATAACTCCACCTTCTTCCCATCTACACCCAGCTAAACATGACTGAAGAAGCACAAAATTGGCTGGGTGTGGTGGCTCACGTCTGTATTCCCAGCACTTTGGGAGGCCGAGGTGGTCAGATCACCTGAGGTCAGGAGTTTGAGACCAGTCTGGCCAACATGGCGAAATCCCATCTCTACTAAAAATACAAAAATTAGCCAAGCGTGGTGGCACATGCCTGTAATCCCAACTACTCAGGAGGCTGAGGCAGGAGAATCGCTTGAACCCAGGAGGCAGAGGTTGCAGTGAGCTGAGATCATGCCATTGCAGTCCGGCCTGGGTGACAGAGCAAGACCCCGTCTCAAAAAAAAAAACCCACAAAATTATGCTGTCTGGTCTTATTTTCAATTCATGACCACTAAAATCAAACGGAGCTAGTGCAGCCCAGCAATCACTCTGCATTTGCCTGTTTGTTTACCCTCCTGCTCTCCTGTTGCTATGGATGAATCATCTAAGGCCATTATGGCCTCCAGTATGAATCAGATCCCATTCATGTGGCTTTTCCCTCTTCCCACCTGGGTTAGTATTTTCTTTTGTCCTTGATCACTCCCATCAGTATACAGACATACAACTATGATCTTGTCTTTTTAAAAATCTTTTCTTGACTCTACATATCTCCAGCCATTACTCCAATTCTCAGCTCCCCTTTACAACAGAATTCATTAAAATAATTATCTATACTGATAGCACCCATTCTTCATTTTGCTCTTACAAGCATCTTAAACAGGTTTCTACCTCACTCTGCCAGAGTAGCTCTTGTCAGGGTCAAGAATGGCTTTGCCATTGCCAATTCCAGGGATCAGTCCTAGGTCCTAACAGCAGGTTTTGACCTGCTGATCTTATGAGTGGATGGGCTCAGATGGGCTGTCTGCAGAATCAGTCTCCTCTGGTTTCCCATAGAATCAAGAAGCAAATAACATTTGTGTCTAAAGAGAGGTGGCCTATAGAGGGCCTTGGGATCAGCCAGACCTGGGTTCTGATACCAGTTCCAATACTCACTAGTAACTTCATTTCTTTCAGTCTTAGCTTTGTGTAAACATGGAGATAATAATCATAGCTAGCATACCAATGTGGTGAGAGTGCAATAAACTAATGCACTTGGAGCCCCTAGGAGAGGGAGTGTCACCCTGTAAAAGTCAAATAAATGTTAGTTGATATTGGATGCCATGCTCCTTTACAGCTGACACAAATGGACTCTTTTTATCCCTTAACAATTTAGAGTTACTGAAAGAAGATACTAACCGCAGAGTATGTTTACATTAGGGGAATGTTCATTGTCTCCAACTTTTAGTTTGCGTTCCAAGAATTGGCTTGAAAGTTGGTTACTTGGAGCTGGCAACAGGTTTACCCCTATGAAGATGTTGCCAGTGCTCCACAGGGTGGTTAGGTTCCAGAGCCTGCCAAACTGTTCTCACAATGGACTTGCCTTCAATTTGTTCACACTAACGGATGACTTGTAAACTAGGAACTATCCTTACAGCACCTTAGTTATTTGAATTTCCTAATCAACTGAGTGTTAATGAGAAGACATTTCTCTTGTTTCAGTATTTGTTGTTGAAAATTCTCTAAAGTAAATGATTCCAATTTTCTATCTTAGAAAGTAGAACAGAGCCAACAATAATGTTTCATATTAATAAAACAAACTTTTATTGGGAATTTACCATGCTTCCAGCACTGTGCTAGGCACTGCAGACACAAAGGTGATCAGTGCCCTTCTGATAAGGGATTCCATGACAGACCTTATTGAATCTCAGGGCAATGTCCAAAGTGCCTACCCACACTTGACTTTTATAGGTCTCTTACAGAGAACTGGTTCTGCCGGCGTGTCACTGAGTTATAATGAACAGTGCACTAGTTTACAGATTTGTATCTCAGCTCTGTGAATTATTGGGTGGGGGGCATTTTCATTTCCTAACAATAATACACACCTCACTGGATTGTTAGGAGCAGCAAAATAGGTAAGGTATGAGACGGACAAGGCACAGTGTCTAGCACACAGTGGGTACATAATAAATACTCATTTTCTGGCTGGGTAAGGTGGCTCATGCCTGTAATCACAACACTTTGGGAGGCAGAGGCAGGCGGATCACCTGAGGTCAGGAGTTCAAGAGCAGCTTGGCCAACATGGTCAAACTCCATCTCTACTAAAAATGCAAAAATTAGCTGGGTGTGGTGCAGGTGCCTGTAATCCCAGCTACTCAGGAGGCTGAAGCAGGAGAATGGCTTGAACCCGGATGCAGAGGTTGCAGTGAGCCAAGATCGCGCCACTGCACTCTAGCCTGGGTGACAGAGCTAGATTTCGTCTCAAAATACATACATAAATAAATATATACTCATTTTCTTCCCGCATAGAGGGCTAGAGCATGCCTGACTGCTCTCCTTTTCGTCCCAGGTGACAGGTGGGCCTTCTGCTGCCATGGCCCCAGCAGACAGCAAGAGGGAGTCCCTGCCTCTGTTTCTAGGGAAGCATATTTATTAGAGGTGGGACGTGTGGGGAGGAAATGACAAGGTGGAAATATTTCTGGGGCTCAAGAGGAAGTTTACCATAGAAACAGATTATACAGGGGCCTGGTGTCTATTGGTCACTGTTACTATTGCCATGATATATCATGAATTGAATGGGCTTTTGGGAGCTGGCCTGGGAACCCAACTCCTAACTCTAATGTTCTTTCTTTCCTTATATTATTGTAAATGTTTTAACTTTATTTTTACAATATAAACAAAATGTGTTTACTGTAAAGGAAAGAACATTTGGTATAGATGAGTATAAACTGAAAAATAAAAGTCTGCTTTCCTGTCCTCTCGTAATCTCCATCTGCAAACTAAAAACCATCCACAACTTCTTATGTGTCCTAGTAGGAGTTTTTAAAGGCATATTCAAATGCGTATACGAATTGTTTAAACAAGTTGGATATTATTATTATGGATTCCAAATTAAAGGCAAAAATTTCTAAATGAAATTTTTCTCCACTCCCAAACATAAGCTGGGGTATGACTCTTTTCTGTTTAGAAAGGCAAGAAAGTATTAAAAAGTCATAGAAGAAAAGTCTTATCAACCATTAGAAAACAGTAAAATCTTAAACAAAATT